GTCCAAAGCCCTAAGAGCCTCTACTCTTCATACCAGCAACTCTACTTCCAGAACTGTAGCTGGACAAAATAGCTAAGAATGTGCAGAACATGGGCACGGTGGCTCATGCCTGTAATCCCAGCACTTTGGGGGACCGAGGTGGGCAGATCACCTGAGGTCAGGAGTTCAAGACCAGCCTGACTAACATGGTGAAACCCCGTTTCTACTAAAAATACAAAAAATTAGCCAGGTGTGGTGGTGTGCACCTGTAATCCCAGCTACCTGGGAGGCTGAGGCAGGAGAATTGCTTGAACCTGGGAGATGGAGGTTGCAGTGAGCCGAAATTGCGCCATTGCACTCCAGCTTGGGCAACAAGAGTGAAACTCTGTCTCAAAAATTTAAAAAAAGAGTATGCAGAACAACACAGCCAAAGAACACATTCTCAGATATATCAAAATGGGATAATCCAGTTCATACTGTTTTATAACCTCAGCAACATGAGGATAATGGTTCATCCTTTCATGTCATTTTCTAGTCTGCGCTATGTAATTTCAAGTGCCTTTTCCCTGAATAGACCTATTAAAATTGATACAAGCAGCTGACTATTGTTGGACATGTTCTATTTTTAATAAGAAAAACTGGAAGCAACCTAAATGTCCAACAACTGGGGACTGGTTAAAGCCATACAATGGGATGATCCCATGTTTGGTTTGCGCCCATGAGCGTGCATGCATACACGGGAAGAAGACTGCATCAAAGTGAATAAGACAGCTTGCCTATAGATACTTTTTTTCATTTTGGTTATATTTATTGCCACTTTTTCTACAATAACTATATGCTACTTAAACTATCTTAATTATTAATTTCCTTCCCCCACATTGATAGTCAGGGAGAACGCCCAGAAGAGTGTGTGTGTGCACATGCAAGGCGTGCAACCATCACAGATGAAATGGCAGCATCTGAAGTGAGCCCTAGGGCTAGCAGGTCTGACTCCAAGTCATGCAAATCTGTGGGGATGTGGGGGAGGAGCTGGGGGAGACTCATCAGCCCTGCCAGTTACACATTCCAGACAACAGCCAGTAGCTCCTCATTTGAATCGGAAACAGAATGAACACCCACACTCGCCCAGGGAGTGTGTACACATCATTTGATCTGTCTGCTCACATTTTTGGCAAGACACAATGGTGGCAAGATTGGGGTCACTGACCCAGACTCTGGTATCTGAGTGGTTCTTAGAAAGCAACCAAATTGAGGTTTTCAAAAGGCTATGGTCCCAATGTAACCAGTGTTTCACTCTTGGAAATGGGGGAGTTGGTGGGGATACCAAAGTCACAAAAACACACGACACCAAGAAAGAAACTTTCCTTTACTCTTCATCTCTGCAGTGACACCAAATTCATTTTTACTCTGCTGAATCTTTCTTTGTTAAGAGACTTCACAGATTTATAAAACAAATCCACTGTGC